ATTCCTGGAAAATGGGCCTTATCCAGGGTGAGGGTGGTTGTACCAACCCAGAGAGATGCCTCCCCACCCCAGTCTGAGCTCCTTCTGGGCTTCCTGACAAGGTAGGAGCCCAGGTTTGGGGAAACGCTGAGGCTTCCTTCCAGAGGCTCACAAGGACCCGCGGCCCCCAGGGAGCTGCTCCTATTAAACGCCTGGATATGTAGGACCCAGGAACTGGACTTAACCTTTAAGCCCTGTGGATGCCACTGTTGCGGGTCTGGAAGGGGAAGAACCAAAGAAGAGCCCATGTTATGCTCTCCTCTGACCATGCTGAGCAGGGATGTCAGGCAGGATCCTTCATCCTCCCCACAATGCCACGCCCATGTGCAGGGCCCTCAGACTGTAGTGAGGCTTGAGGCAAAAACCGAAATTTACCCCTGACACCGGGAACGACAGCATGGGGGTCTGCTTGAGACCCTTGGGATCTGTCCTGTCCCACCTAAGGGGAAGGAGCCTTTCAAATCTTGAAGGAAAACAGGAAAGCCCACGCAGGGAGTAGACCAAGAAGCTTCTTAGCCGTCACCTGCTACCCAGCTGACCTCAAGCTAGTGCACCTGGCCCTATTTGCAGTGAACCCCTAGCAGGCCCTCTAGGGACTTATAAGAAGGAAATCTGAGAGCACTGCCTCTCGGGCTGTTTGAGCCTCAGGATATTCATGTGGAGTTGTATGTTGTAGCCGTATGTGTGTGTATCTGGGGTGGAGCGGGGGGGGGGACATGCAGCCCTGTGCGAGGGTCTTCTCAGGCTCCAGGTGGTAGTTCAAAATGCACCCAGCTAGAGATGTGAGGTCAGAGCGGGGCCGGGGGAACTCTGTCCTGACTTCTCCCACAGTACCCCTCCCAGCTCTCCCTCAGTCTTGTGCAAAAAAGCTCAGATGTTGTCAGGTCCTCACCACTCCCAGTCTCCCGCCACCTCTGGGAATCTGATGCTGTCACTCATTCTTTCATGGAAGCAATTACCATTGTCAGGAAGATTGAAGATGGATTTAGGTTTGATAATAAGAAGAACTTTACATTTGGGGGAGAGCCAGAAATTGGGATAAGTATGGGAAGTAGACCCTTCCTGGATGATTTTCCCAGGATAGACCATTATCCTTCTGGGATGAAGGTGGATCTCTGAGGGAAAGGCAGGGAGGAAGAGGAGCCTCACCTCCCAACCTCCGCCTCCTGTGAGGCTTTGCAGCATAAAAACGCTGACTGTTGAGGTTACTTTCATTGCTATTCCAGACAACAGCCCTATTGATATTCAAGGAAACACTCTGTTTAGGCTCTTTTCGGAATCTTCCTTTGGGTAGGGGAACCCCGGGTCTCAGGGGCTGCTCCCCTGCCTTGCCCAATCCCTGGCGGGCTCCCTCCTGCCCCAGGGCCTCTCGCCTCTGAAAGCACAGCCTTCATCTCTCACCCACTCGGTCGCTGCCACGCCCCCTGCCCCCTCCACCCTTTAGGAGGTGGGAGCCTTGGGGGCTTCTGGAGGAGCCCCTAGTCTGCCCTGCTGTCCTGTTGGGCGATGGCTGTCCCTTCCAAGGACCTGGCCAGGGGAGGGGGTGTCCCTGGAACAGCTTGGTAACAAGGTTTCAGACAGCCAGTGCCTTTGTTGTCTTTCCCAGTGATTATTATTCGAGCAACAGGCAGAGACGAAGGAAGCTTGAATGCTGGAGGCTTGGCAGCTGAGTGGGGGGTGGGGCTCCAGAAGGGAGAGCAGGCAGAGGACTTGGGGAGCCCAGCTGGGACACAGGGCCTCAGACGCTGGGGTCCTTATCAAGGCCTTCCCTCTCTGCCCGGTCAGTCCTCTATCCACCCCCGCCCTCTCCCAGCAACCTTCCCCAGCTCTGCTTTCTCCTCTCCCCACCGCCCCCTCCTTCTCTCCCGGGACCTTGGATAATGTCCACAGGAGAACTTGAAAATAGAACGCTGGTTTGTTTTGCGTCCTTGGCACCCAGCCGCCAGCATCAACTCCCTGCCGCAGAGGAAGGGGCTGCCCTGGGCCAGCCTGCTTCCCTCCCCACCTTGCCAGACTGATAAGAGACAAGCATGTCTTCCCTGCGTGGCATTACCACCCCCTGATTCCTTGGTGCCCTGCATTTACCTCCCCCTGAGGGCGCGGGTCTGAGTCCAAGGGGGCGGGGCTGGGTGGGGTGTGGGAGGGGTTCCGCCCCCCTCCCCAGGTGACCCCTCTGTCCTCAGGGGTTGCTGTAGGCACTCAACCTTGGGGTGGGGCCGGGTCTCTGACCCGTGGCCAACGGCCCACTGCTTTGCCCTTTCACTCCCTGAAGCTGCCCCGGCTCTGGTTCTGGAAGGGGAGCTGCTGAGCTGAAGGCCTTATCTCATTTTCACGCCTTCTGCTGAGACCTTCCTTCTGCAGGACCAAGAGCTCCTAACAGATTTGTCACAGCCTACACTTGGCCCCAGTGGACCTTGTAGGGCCATTTCTTTATGCTCAGGAGTGGCTGAGCTGGGGAGGGCCTGCCCCACACTCATACTCTACTCTTCCTGTTTTCTGCTGTAGGCTAATTGCCTTAGAAATGGCAAAGATTCATACCATCCACGCCAACGGCAGCCTGCCCAAGCCCATCCTCTGGCACAAGATGCACGATTACTTCACCCTTGTGAAGAACGAGATCAACCTCAGGTACAGAGATCTGAGAGGGTTCAAGGCTACCACTGTCTCTGCTGCCTTAGTATGACCTCCCTTCCCCAGCCCACCCCGACAGAAGGTTTAGTGGCTTCAGTCCTGATTCCTGAGCCTCTGTCTCCAAGCAGAGTTCGGCTGATTGACGAAATCTCAGGAACTTGTTTCCGCAGTTTTATACCTATGTGCTTCTTTCTTTTTTTTTTTTTTTTTTTAGAATTTTTAAAAGTTATTTATTTTTTTTACATCTTTATTTGAGTATAAATGCTTTACAATGTTGTGTTAGTTTCTGCTGTACAACAAAGTGAATCAGCTATATGTATACATATATCCCCATACCCCCTCCCCCT